CGTTGCTTCTTCGTCCATCTGGGAGGCGGTGGTGGTGAAAAGATGGCGGACGAGCCCTGTGAAGTTCGCGTTGCTGTGGCACTCTTCGCCCTTGTACAGCGCGGTAAGGTCCGCGACGAGGAGCGGTACAGTCCACGCATCTACATTCCATCATCAGTACTTTCAGCTCACTCGAATAAGGAAAGTAGAGAGCTCACCGTAAGTAGCATGATGCAACGACACCAACAGCGCGTCCTGCCCTCCGACCCTCACAAGCCGCACCCGCGCAGGCGGAACACCCAGCCCCGCCGGCGCCGCATACATCTCCCGCACATGTTCCTTCACAACGCCGTCAAACTCGCCCTCGCCCTCCTCTTCCTCAACAAACCGCCAATCATCCCACCCCGAGTCCTCATCGTCAGCTTTCAGCACGACCTGCACAACAGTATCCGGCGACGTCGTCACGAACGCCGTGCGCAGTATACTGTGCCGCCGCTGCAGCGCGCGCCACGCGCGTTCCATTGCAACCGCGTCGAGGGGCCCGGAGGCTTTGTAAGCGAATACGGGCTGGTAGAATGTGCGGCCTGATGCGAGCCATGAGGCGATGTGGTAGTCTTGGCCCTGTACCAGAACAAATGGTTAAGCAGCGCAGACAGTTTTAGGCGTAAGGAGAGCTCACTGCTAAGACGGGCAACACATCCTCCACATCCTCTTCCCCCAAACCAAGAGCAGTCAGCGCAGCATCCTTCACCTCGGCCGACACCAGCGCCCGATCGCTATCGCCACCGAGCTTGTCCGACTCTGTGCGCACGCGCTCGTTGTAGACCCTACATATCCCGCCCACACTCTCCCCCGCGAACACATCCGCAACCGACACCGCCATCCCCTGCGCCCGGCATCGCGCCGTGATCTGTATCGCGGCGACCGAGTCGAGGCCGAGCGCCCAGAGCGGCGCGTGGAGCCCGATGCGCTCGGCGGGGATCTTTGAGACGAGCGAGACGATGTCGCGGAGGATGAGCTCTTGCGGCGTGAACTCGCGCTGCGGTTCTCCTTCCGCCTGAGCTTGGGTGGGCGGGGGACAAGCGCGAGAGCGCGGGGTGTTGATGATGGATTGGAGAGAGGGGGGGTAGGAGATCACGCTGGACGAGGGCTGCGTGACGATGTTCAAGAACGTCTCCTTGAGCGTCGTCAGAGTCTCCGAGAGCGCCTGTTCGGTGAACACCGCGCCCTGGCATCCCGCGCGAAGCTCGATCGCATTCCCATTATGCACGATCTCCAGACTCAGCGGATACTACAACGCACATCAGCGCCGGATAGAGACAAATATACGAACAACTGACCTGCGCGGACGTAGGCTCATCCGACAGCTCAAACGACTCCCACAGATCTGAGCGATCGCTAGTATCGGTCTTCTCCATGACCTGCTGGAACACGAAGAGCGAGTCGAACAGCGTCGCGCCGCCCAGCTCGTTCTGCACGCGCCAGTCCCTCTGGATCTTGCGCAGTGGGACGTGCTGGTACGGTTCGGCCTGGATGTTGGCCTGCTGCTGCGCTTGAACGGCCTCTTCGTTCGACCAGGTTGGATCGCGGAGGATGAAGCGGAAGGGGATCGTACTGAAGTGTCCCCGTCAGTACATATCATGAGTAGATGCAGGGCAATGCGCACTTGAAAAGCGGACCGCTGGCATGCAGCGCATCCTCAAGCTCGATCGCGCGCCCAGAGACGACATGTCCAAACGCAACGTCCAAAGAGCCCGTAAGCGCCGCAAGCACCTTGCCCCACGCCAACAGAGCCACAGCCTGCGCAGTGACGCCCATACTCTTGATCGTCTGCAGCGCGCCATCAGGAAGCGTGAACGACTGGCGCCCGCGGTGCGTCTCGGCGCTGGAGGGAGTCGAGCGGGGCAAGGGTGCCGGAAGGAAGCCGGCGAGGTGTTTGGTCCAGAATCCGGCGCGGTCTTGTGAGCTGTAGAGGATGTGCGGGAGGGCGTCGGCGAATTGAGGGCGTGGGAGGGGAGCTTGATGACGGTAGTGCGAGGCGACGTCCGAGAGGAGGTACGGAAGGGACAGGCCGTCGTATAGGCTGCAAGCCAAGGTCAGATAGAGCTACCGGTGAACCGTCAGAACGTACCAGTGATGCATAAACAGAATCAGCACACGCAAGCCGGGCGCTTGAAGCACATGCGCGGACATCGGCGGGCGCTCGAACGCCTTCTCATCCGTTAGACGCTCAAGATCTACGATCTTGAGCGCCTCCGCCCGCAGCGCAGCCTCCGTGTCAAACTGATGCTCCTCCCATCGCAACGGGGCCTCAGAGTGAAGAGCGATGAGCCACGGGTGGTCGCCGTCGGCAACGGCGTGGAAGGTACACCGCAGGATATCTGTACCCGCGATCACCTTCTCCAGCGCGTCCCGGAGGTTCGGCAGCGAGATGAGCTCGTTGAGGCGAAGGGAGTGTGGGACGAGGTACAGCCGACCGCCGGATGAGATCGTCTCGGTCAGCATACCCGTCTGAAGCGGCGTCGCGGGGAAGATACCGACGACCTGATCGCCGGCCGTGAGCAGAGGGATATCCGCGACATGCGCGTCCTTGAGCTGCGCTTGGAGAGCGGCGAACTCGCGTTGTGCGATCACGGCGGTGCTCTCGGCGGGCGTTTCACGAAGGAACTGAGCAAGCGCGCCGACGCAAGGATTCCGCATGATCGCGTGTGTCGGGACGGGAAGACCACGCGTCCGAAGCAGTTGAGCTAGGCGAATGCTTGTGATGGAGTCTACGCCCAGCTGTAAGAAAGATGTGTCCCTGGATACGACGTCCGTGTTCACGCCACACAGTTCCGCAACCGCGTCTCTGATGAGTCCCTCTGCCTCTGACCACGTCGCGTTGTCGTATGTAGCAA